AAATCAGCATCTTTGAAATCAGCACCCACGCTGTAAACGTCGCCGTGGCGCCCCCTCGGGGATCTTCCGTTCATTTATGAGTAAGGTGACTCGTAAGCAAGGCCTAGGTGGCGCTAACGACAAGCAAAATCTTGGTCTGACCTTGACTATTTGAGTGAGACCCCCATGGTGTATTTTTTCTCCCATAACCCTAAAAAGTCTAAAATAAAATTGCATATGGCGCCAAATTGAAAGCTAGGTGTCTCAGACCGCAAGAGCGCTGCTAAAAGTGTGGGAGGTCTAAATAGTATGTAGTTTGTGGAGCTGACTAAACAAAGAAGCTGACTTTGTTTTGACAAAATGAATCGACTTTTGGACCACTGTCGGAAAAACGATGAACCGTCGAAGCTGTGAACAACTTTTTACTCGCACAATCTCTCGAATATCAGTTCAAATTATCTGTAAAGACAACAAGGTATATGTGTTTGTAATTTTTCTTGTGATTTACATGTAATATTTATTATTAACTGTAAGGTTTGTTTCAACAAAAGTATGCTTATTAGATTTAATAAAAATTAGTTAAAATGTGGTCAATTAAGATTTACACTTGCAATGTGGATGTTTTTAAATGTTGGTTTCTACTTGCTTTAAAAATATTGCAATTTAAAAAACTACAGTGACTTGTGATTCTATTGATTGAAGTTATTATTTCTTACGTATAAATTAGTCTTTACCGATTACAGTCACTTCTATGACGAGCTGCTGGAAAAAGAGTAGAAATAATTATCCCTGCTGATATACCGATCGGTCAGCCAGATGCTGTATCACATTTTGGTATTTTTTTACATTTTTAATTTTCCCTCACATCTTTTATAGCAAATTAACATTAACGCGAGAAAATTTTCGGTATGGAAAACAACGCCTGCTGCTACTTGATTCCTTTTTTAATTGCTTCAGACAACAATTAATACTTGCAAACTAAGAACTTTTGCAATAATTTATTGCTTACCTAATCACTATTTTTATAGGATTGGAACCTTCGACAAAACACAATGAAATAACCAAAATTTACTACTTCTTCGGCATTTTCTTTTTCACCTGACGCGCTTTTCTGTATATAAGGCTTGATAGGATAATAAATAATAGGATATTGGTAAAAAAACAAAAACAAGTTCAATTAATTTGATGTGTATTGAAAATAGTTTCTCCTTAAGGATAGATGTATAAATTGAACTCTTGCAGCATGACAACTTTTAGATAAAAATGAGCATATGCCTAACAAAATGTCTATATTTAGGACACCAAAAAATATATTACGTTCATACTAATTATTCACTTAAAACAAACTTTAAAGTATGTCGTCGTTGTTGGAAAAATTACGAGTTTTCTTAACATTTTCATACTTTACATGACTTCCAGCCCTACGTCGCTCGTGCTCCTTCAAAGCATCCTTTACTAAAGATGGCACTTTTCGGTCCTCCCTTCGCTTTTCATCTGCTATCTGATATGAATTTAGACCCTCAGACGTCGAATCAAATTTTTCCGACTGCGAATAATTGGCATACGTAAGATTGGCTGGATCTAGCGATGATTTCGAGTCCGTATATTCTCTAATATCAGCTTGATACGGATCTGATAAAATAAACTTTATTAATGCGTTTTAATCAATAAATCGCGATATTTAATTAAAAGAAGTCTGTATTCTGTATTTTACCGTTAACATTATTTTTTGTTTTGAGGAAATCAAAGGAATTCTGGGAAAAATACTACTTTGTATTCATGTGTAAAAGGAAATTTCTATATAGTGTATCCAGACACGTTAACGGTCAGTTAATATGCAAAAAAGTTGCCTTCTCAAAGTTTTAGAAATCTGAAATTTTAAATCAGGAAGAATATTTTAACGGAAAAGCGACAAACTTCTTGTAAACCGGACACTTTTTATTTTTATTAATTCTGAATATATAAAAAACTTTCAAGTACTTTCATCTACCGTTTTCTTTTAATAGTAGCTAGATAACGCAAGTCGTGCAAGTAGATCATGAGACAATGTTCAAAATGAGGATAAAATGTGACAAAAAATACTTTTGAGTTTTGCAAATAATGTTTAAAGAGCGAGCAAATGCAGAAACATATTTAATTTTTACGAACAGAAGAAAATGGGTTTCAATATAATAAAACCCTCAGTAATGAACACTTTAGTAAACAAATGAAATTTAATTCCATAGTCTGTAGTGTAAGGGGTCGCCCCGGAATTTACGTGAGATTTTTTATCATTAAAAAAATAATAATTGATTTAATTCCAGACAAAATTGGTCTTATTAGGCGATATTAAATCCCCCAAAAGTATTTTTTAGAATTCAAATAACTGACTAATTGTTCTATGTAAATAAATACTAAAATAAACATAGACATAACACTTAATTTGACGAATGAAGATTAATTTGAGTATTTTACTATTTAACTATGGAAGTGTAAGATATTGAACAAATTATTTTAGCGTTAGTTTTTAGCTCAATTAGTCCCTGATATAAACGAAAGGAAGAAAGCTATGTTCAACTTCAAAGCAACGTATAGATTAAAACTTTTTAAAGAAGTAAAACAATTGGAAATATATTTTATGCGATTTATTAAAATTGTGGAAAAATGGGGAAATCTTCCAAATTCGATGTTCGTGAGAAAACTGCCCATTTTCCTAACTGGTGCTTCACTTGGCAAATGGACTTTTTAATCTTCTATCCATTATTAGGCAAAATCGCATAAAACTAAAAATTAAGTTAAAATTTTGCTTTTGTGTGAATGATTGCCCTTTATTTTTTTATCCAAAACTATTGTTGTTTATTGTTTATCCAGCGTGTACAAATGAGTGCTCAATTTATTCCTTAGATATGAACAAAATCTTGTGCCTAAACGTGTTATTTTCAAATGTTTCTATTTGTGTGAAAACTGCCAATATTTTCCAACTGAAATTTCACTTGCCAAATAAGCCTTTTATTTCTCTATCCGGTGGTATGGTCTTGAGATATAGTCCAAGGTGTGCATTGTTGTTGTTAAACAATTCTTTTAATATTTTCAAATGTGAACCCTATTGTTAGAAGGAAAAAATCACCCTGTATTATGTCACATACTCTTAACTAGATTCCTTTCCTAGGTTTTTATCAAAAATATCTGTTGCAGCAATTAACGATCTGATCGATACTGACAAATTGGTTATCTTAATTTTCAAAATAAATTAAAATAATAAATTTATTGCTTGCATACTTTCAATATAACCGTAATACAAAAACCCTAAACAGTTAAATACTTAAGATGCAAAAAAATCCAAATTAGAACCCATTCACTTCTACTTACCCGTATTAGCATCAAACTCGGTATAAAGTCCTCCTTGGTACAGGTGGCTCCAATCAGTTATAATCCCGTCACTTGATGGCATTGCATATTGCGAATAGGTGCTTGGATATGATGCTGACTGATTATTCCAATCCGTCATGCTTTGTGTATCAAAAGGCTGGTCATAAGTAGTGCCAATATATTGATACTGTTTCTCTTGACTCTGATCCGTCCAAGACTGTCTGTCCAATTTTTCCCTTGATAAACGTTTCATGTTCTCTTTTTCCACCCGTTCCTTTTCCTGCTTTGCTTTCAGCCAGTCGGTGAAAAGGGTCATCTGATTATCAATCAGCTCTCTCATTATTTCTGTTTGACTTTTCTTGCTTGTGTGAACCGACTTGTATTTCGCTCTCCTGCGTTTTGCATCGCGTTCTAGAAGCAATCTTTCTTTTTCAGTCAATCCTTTCTTTTCTTTTATGTCAGTCAGATCTCTGGAGCAAAAAAAAAACAGTAATCAAATAAATGTGCCTCTTGCCATACAAATTCAATCTTTTAATACTGATAATACTTACAGAGTGAATTCTTGCGGCTTTGGAGGAGGTATTGCATGTTTAATGGAGTATTCATACAACGCTGATCTTTCATCAACCGAAAAGGTACTGGTGAAACGATCTGATGTAAGGGGATCCGAATCTCGACCATTCCAAGCTGAAGAAACAAGGTGAATTTGCTGATATTAATATGTCTAAATCAAACTTTTTTTGTAGAAAGTCAAATGTGTAACTACTTATAACACAAAATTTAAAACCGGCAAAGTGACCTTATTAATCGTTTTGGCAAGTACATCAGAACTAAAGTAAGAGTTAGCTCTGAATATACTAGAAAAACTCGCGTATGATCCCGGTGTTTTTATTACACTTCACAAAAAGGATATTTTAAAAGGATATGTACCTATTTTTATATTTTATTTTGCTCATACTACATATGTTAAAATGCACATTAGTTCAATGTGCATCCAACTGCAAGGGAAACCCTGCACTGAAAAAGAATCAAACCTATTAAATAAAATAGAATTTGTATTCCCTAGGTAATCAATACTGCAAATGATCAAAATTTCTATGTATTAAATTATGATTACACGCACTTTCATTTTCAGTTCTGATTACTATAAAAAGCATCTGGCTGATTGATAAAAATTGAAAAAAATGCTAACCTAATCTAAATTCGGATCGGTTCACTCTGGATGCACCAATGATTTCAGCTTTCTTTGCATTTGATATTTTAACGCAACATTTCTTGCTTGATGGGGGCTCTGACAAAAAGTCCTCATTGCCCTCGTAACCCGCCGATCTTAATGAACACTTTTCCAAATGTTTTTTTAATGTTTGTTGCGGAATCAGATGATTTTTATTTAGTGGGCAGAGTATTTTGGGTTCTTCATCCTGAAACAGAAAGAACTTTTATAACATATACCATATACATACAGAGTACTTTTACTATGTATCTGAATACATAGTAAAAAATTAAATGGGCAATCTTGAGCTAAATTCACAATACAAAAAATTCATAGGAATACATGTTTTGTAATGCTTGTTTCGATCTACAAAGTGTTGCAAAATCGGTTTTTTCAATTATTTTTTATTAAAAGCTGTTGAAAATGTTTACACATCATAAGCCAAGTGTACCTTAGGAAAGACAAATTTTCAGTTTAAACTTTACATACAGGATAATTCAGATTTATAGGTCATAAGCCCTCATCGTCGAACACTTTTTATTCGGTTAATAATTTGGGGCTTTTTGGTAAATTTTTGAAATCGCCATTTTTTTCATCTTTAAAATTTAAAATTATTTTAAATTTCCGAGTAAATGTTGGCGAATTTGGAAATGTTTATACTAAAATGTAATATATTTGTGTATTCTTGACAAGAAAAATAGTATTCAAACAATGTTCCTTATATCCTTAGACCAAAGAAGATGCACGTAAACCTTCGTTTACAATATTGTATCAAGGAGAGAGAAAATTTTTGCTCAGACATATATATCTTTAGGGTAGAATCAATATTAAATGGTTTGGTAAAGGAGGATCATATGTGTCACATGTGCTTACCTGTACACCTTACTGATTAGCCGTTCTTTCCCCCAATTATATTGATTTGAAAAATATGAGCATAAAGCATAAATATCACTGTACTTTTTAAATGAAATGAACATTACATTGTATTAAAAAAATTTGAATGTTAGACTGTACATTTCCTCTCTGCTAAATATTTGTTTCATCTGAAAAAAACTAGACTCGCTAACTTTATTACAAGAACTACATTAGCTCATATGATAATCATTAATGTTTCACCAATTCTTATTTAAACAAAAATACACCAGGACCCACTATATCTTAATTAGTCTTTGGCAATGAAAAGGCAGTGAGTGCGCTTGTTTACCTGCAACATAATTTGGTCGAACTGCAAATAGGCCTTAACTGCCCAACTCAAATATAACAAAATCAACGGTTCGAAGGTAATAAATGCAGAAATATATACCTGCAAAGTTTTGGAGGAAGTCCAACCCAAACTCTGAACAGCTGCTTTAACATTTTCTTCGGAAGACCGTATATACTGTTTTAAGCTGTGCAACTGTTTCTTCCGTACCTCCACATTAAATTCCATATTCCTAATGCCAGAGTAGAAACAATAAAAATAATACAAATCACACTCTAAAAATTGAAGACATTAACGCAAATTTGACGCACAAACATAACCTTAATTCGTTCTTGAAATCAGGCCTTGAACTTGAATTTGTGCTAATTGACAATCTAGATTGTTTTTTTTTT